GATCGTCTGATCTTCGAGCTGCAAATTCTCGCCCATAGAAAGCCTTATCAGAGACTCAATCGCATCTTAGAACAGGCCAACGCAGTACTGAGCTCCATGATCAGGATGGATGTACTCGAGAAGTACGACCAAGAGGCTTCTATTGGAGACGAGAACGGTACAATCGATGCAGACACCGATGACGAGGTGATTTCCAACGAGACGGAGCAATTAGAGAACGAAATGCTGTTCTCTCCATCGAACAGTAACGTTATCTTTGCTAGTGCTACCGACGGCTAGGCCTTTGGTATCGGATACTTTGCAGCTTTGTATGCGAAGAAATTAGAGCTGCCTGTACGTGTGATGCGCCAAGCATTGTGGGGCGAGTACTACTACAACCACAAGAGCAAGAAGATCGTGAGCAAACCGCCCACGTCTAGTAGCCAGACGATGTTCTGTTCGTTCATTCTCGACTTGATCTGGACGACGTATACGACGATGACGAAGCCGGTGCAGTCGGATGCGGACTTGGACGTGTTACGGAAACTCACACGACAACTTCGGATTGCCAAGCTGGTTTCGGATCGTGATCTGAAGCAGACGGACCGGAAGAACGCGACTCAAGCGGTGATGAGGAAGTGGCTGCCGTTGTCTACGACAGTGTTAAAGATGGTGACGCGCGTTCTACCGAGTCCAGTGGCTGCTCAAGTAAAACGCGCCGACAAGTTGTGTACGATCTCGTCCGACAAATCGCTTCAAGTCTTCCGGTCTTTGCAATCCTGTCAGACTTCGGATGATGCGCCGCTTGTTATTTACATTTGCAAGGTCATTTCAGTGGAGGCCAATGTGTTATCGGATTATCACCAGTCCGGACTGGCTGCTACAGACGAGGTCTATGTCGGCGTGGGTCGGGTGTACTCTGGTGTGCTTCGAGAAGGCCAGCCGGTGTATGTGATGGATCGTAAGTTCCAAGGCGTATCTGGAGACGTGGATGTGGATACAGTGGACTTGAATACGGTGAAACACGTCACACGTATTGACAGCGGGGTGGTGAAGCCGTACATGATGATGGGACGTGATCTACACAAGCTGGATCGTGTTCCTGCTGGTAATATCATCGGTATTGTCGGTCTTCAGGAACATGTTTTGAAGACGGCGACGTTGTCGTCAACCCTGGCGTGTCCTTCGTTGACGAAGATGCCGTATCAAGCCAAGCCGATTGTCCGTGTGGCCGTGGAACCTGAAGATCCGCGCCACTTTGGCGCTCTGGAAGCTGGTCTACAGCGTTTGTATCGATCTGATCCTACCGTCGAAGTCCACGTGCAGGAGACTGGCGAACATGTTATTGTTGCAC